GCTTAGAGAAGACATGATGCTGGGGGAAATGGGAAGGAAAAAGGAAGAGGGGCTACCAAGGGCAAGATGGATGGATGGCCTTGAAGCCACTGGCTTGACCTTGAAGGAGCTGGGGGTGGTGGCGGCCGACAGGGAGCTCTGACCTGGGCTGGTCCATGAGGTCACAAAGAGTCGGAAGCGACTGAACAAATAAACAACAACAACACAAGCTTGGTAAAGGAATCGTAGAATACTAGAGTTGGAAGAGACCACATGGGCCATCTAGTCCAGTGTTTCTCAACCTGGGAGTTGGGACCCCTGGGGGGGGGGTTCAGGGGAGGTTCGGGGGAGGGGGGGTTGCCAAAGACCATCAGGAAACACATATTTCTGATGGTCTTGGGAACCCCTTTGACAGAGAAAGCTGAAGACCTCTCAGTTTGTCCTCATCCTTTTCAGAAACAGGCGGCAAATCCTCCCACCAAAAGCCCTCCTCCTGCTGTGATTGGCTGGCCTCTCAGTCAAGGGGAGGGCTGTTTCTGAGACTCCAAGCAGGGAGGGGAGAGAAGGCGCGCTCGGTGTTATGAAAAGCTTTTCACTAATTTTAAAGCATAGGTTCTTTTTATTGCAATTTTCCAGTACGAGAAAGGTATCAGAACTTTTACAGAACAACACTTAGAGTTGTTGCTAGTTTTCTGGGCTGTATGACCATGTTCCAGAAGCATTGTCTCCTGACGTTTCGCCTGCATCTATGGCAGGCACCCTCAGAGGTTGTGAGGTCTGTTGGAAACTAGGAAAATGGGGTTTATATGTCTGTGGAATGATGTCCAGGGTGGGAGAAAGAACTCTTGTTTGTTTGAGGTCGGTGTGAATCATAGAATCCTAGAATCAAAGAGTTGGAAGAGACCTCCTGGGCCATCATCCAGTCCAACCCCATTCTGCCAAGAAGCAGGAATATTGCATTCAAATCACCCCTGACAGATGGCCATCCAGCCTCTGCTTAAAAGCTTCCAAAGAAGGAGCCTCCACCACACTCCGGGGCAGAGAGTTCCACTGCTGAACGGCTCTCACAGTCAGGAAGTTCTTCCTCATGTTCAGATGGAATCTCCTCTCTTGTAGTTTGAAGCCATTGTTCCGCGTCCTAGTCTCCAGGGAAGCAGAAAGGAAGCTTGCTCCCTCCTCCCTGTGGCTTCCTCTCACATATTTATACATGGCTATCATATCTCCTCTCAGCCTTCTCTTCTTCAGGCTAAACATGCCCAGCTCCTTAAGCCGTTCTTCATAGGGCTTGTTCTCCAGACCCTTGATCATTTTAGTCGCCCTCCTCTGGACACATTCCAGCTTGTCAATATCTCTCTTGAATTGGGGTGCCCAGAATTGGACACAATATTCCAGGTGTGGTCTAACCAAAGCGGAATAGAGGTGTAGCATTACTTCCCTGGACCTAGACACTATGCTCCTATTGCCATTGACCACCTTGAATAGCACTTAATGGCCTAGCAGTTTCAAGGTCTGGTTCTTACTGCCTGGAGGAATCCTTTGTTGGAGTTTTTTAAATACTGGCAGCCAGATTTTGTTCATTTTCATGGTTTCTTTCTTTCCGTTGAAATTCCAGGCTGCATCAAGCGGAGCCTAGTGTTTAGAAGGAGGGAAGTCCTAGTCCCACTCTGTTCTGCTTTGGTCAGACTTCACCTGGAATATCCAGAAGGATATTGACAAGCTAGAATGTGTCCAGAGATAGGTGACCAAAATGATCACAAGTTTGGAAGCCATGAATCCATCTGAGGAACACCTTAGGGAGCTGGGGGTGTTTAGCCTGGAAAACAGAAGGCTGGGACAGGCATGTAGCCGGGAGGGGGGGGGGCTTGAGGGGCTTCAGCCCCCCCCCCGAAATTCTCATGGTGGTCCATGAGAAGGCCTTACTGGTACATTATTTAAACTGTTATGTTTATTCTGTCAGTATATGTTGAAGTATGTAATGTGTTTTAAATGTAATTTCATGCCGTAGAAATATGGATGCCATAAGATTGTATTGCTGTGATGTATGTTTATGTTAGAGGCTGTGAGAAAGTAGCCCTGAGATACTCTTTGTGCAGAGCTGTGAGAAAATTAGGGAGTATCTGGTATCTGCCAAGCAGTTGCAGAATTGTTTTACACTTCTACTTCCTTTGTCCTGCATATGGTGTACTTCGTGTCTGGTTGCTTACTGTAATGGGTGTGTTTTGGAACTGCTCTAAGTAAATTGAACCTGCTTTGTAACCAGACGTCTCCAGAATCCATGTTTTTCTACTAAGCCTGTGCAAAACTTCCGCTAATACTAACATATTCATATCATGATCTGATCATCATGCTCAATATATCCCATATGCATGGGGGTATTGGGGTAACGATACAAAAGTTTGCTATAGTAGACAACGGAGCCATGCATCTAGATGCCAGGAAAAGGGATTCCATCTAACATTAGGAAGAACTTTGGGACAGTAAGAGCTTTTTGACTGTAGAAAATACTGCAGCATTTGAGTCCAGTGGAGTCTCCGTCTTTGGAGGCTTGTAAGTCATCTGTTGGAAGGATTTGGATTGCATGTTCCTGCATGGCAGTAGGAGCTAGAACTGGATGGCCTTTGGGCATCGCTTCCAACTCTATATGTCTATCAACAGCAAGACATTTTGGGTCCACATTCTCACCAATGAGAGAAACAGGTCACATTGTTGTCAGAGGGTCTGACATGGCCCTTCTCTGTCCTTCTTACCATCGCATGGAGCCACCAGCGCGACCTGGAACCGAGCCCTTCCCAGCACCTGGAGTCTCTGCTCTTCCGTTCCATTGCAGAGGGCCTTAGCTGTGTTGGAGCCCACGCCTTGGGCCTCCAGCATGGCTTGGAAGGCACCCAGGGCTGAGCCATCATCKAAGGCTTTGGCGATGCGAGCAGAGCCCTGAGACACAGAGGGAGCTCTCRCACATTGCRATAACAAGGTTCCTCCTGCAAAGAAATGGACGGAGAGCAAGTGGGAGGGCAGTTCTTGGATGTATCTCTCCAGCCAAGCCTCCAAAGAGCAGGGAYGAGACAGTGTTGTGTAGTGGTTAGACCGAGGAACTGAGTCAGGGGACATCCATGGTTAAAAATGCCCATTAAGCAATGATAAGACATAATGCTGCCTCTCCATGGCCTCTCCTGGGGCCATCACAAGTTCTCACCCCTAGATCTCTAACCCACAGTCTTCCAGGAGTTGGGTTAGGAGCTCCAGGTCCTTCTAGCCCAATGTATACAACCATGCCCATCAAGCATCAAGGAGTGCAGACATACCTAACGTGGTCACCAGCTCCCGGACGTCCTTGGGCCCCCCTCCATCCAGGCACTCCAGGGCCTCAAGCACCTCCAAGGAATTGCCCACCCGACGCCCAAGAGGGCTGTCCATCTTGCTGAAGACCGCAACAGTGTTTATTCCCAGCTGGGTCCCGACCGACACCTGCGAGACACACAGAGAGAGCTTTAGGCAGAATATTTAGACTTGGGGTAGCGAAGGACAGCCAGTTGACCCCCTCATTCTAAAAAAGCAGGGAGGTTGAAGCATTGGAGTCTTGCTCTTGGAGCTTGTAGTAGGAAACACATATGTAATCATGGAGTTGGATTGCCTGATGGCTTCCACGCTCATGAGAGTGAGTCCACTCTTAGCTGTGCCTTGAAAAGAAAAGAGGTATGCTTATACTTTAAGAAGAAGGTAGAATCCTAGAATCCTAGAGTTGGAAGAAACCCCAAGGATTGCCCTGTCCAACCCCCTTCTGCTATGTCTTTCCAGATTCTCAATGTCTTCTTGAATTGAGGCGTCCTGTTAGGGATTCCTCATCTTCAGAAGACGAAGGGGAGCAGGAAAGTGTTCAGGAATCGGAAGGGCGGTTAGAATCAGAAGATGAAGTTTTGCAAGTGCCTACATTTCTGGAAAGGCAAAAGGAAACAGAGCAGAAATGGTGTTCAGCTAGAATAGCTGCTAGAAACGCCGAGCTAATTGGAAGCCGCCTTAGCACCTCCTGCGTGGGGAATTCAGGGCTATAAATCAGAAGCAGAAGCAGTTAGCTTTTGCTGGTAACAAACGACTCTGATGCTTATGTCTTTGCTCCAATTGTAGCTGTTTCAAGTCTGCTTCTAAGGATTTAGTGATTATTGCCTGTTGTCTGGTGTAAGACTGCTGTATCTTTTGGACTTTATCAGAGACTTGAGTTTTGTATCTGCATTAAGACTTCCTTGCTTTTGTTTGCATTTTTCAACTGCATGTGCTGTTCCCTTGTGTTTGCTGAAGTGGAGCATTTTTCATTTACTTTCAACATGGTATTAAGGCTTGAAGGGCAAGTCAGGAAATGTCCAGAACAAAGGCTATCTAGTTCAACCCCATTTCTACCAGGCAGGAAGGCACAATCCAAGCCCTCTCAAGAGATGGCCATCCAGCATCTGCTTATCGTGTTGGAGTTCCTAGCTAAATGTACTTCGCTCTCTCAACTGTTCCCCTTGATCCTTCATTGCCTTGATTGCCTTGTCCTGGACACATTCCAGATTGGCAATGGCCTCCGTGAATTGTGGTGCCCGGAATTGGACCCAGATGAGGTGTGACCAAGGGTGGCTCAACCCATTACGCAAAGTAAGCATTTGAGGTATAGTTGATTTTGCCCAGGGGTGCTCTTGAGGCGCTCTTGGGGGAAAATAGACCTTCACATATGCGAGTTGTACTTACTGGGATATATAGTTCACCTACAATCAAAGAGCATTCTGAACTCCACCTATGATGGAATTGAACCAAATATGGCACACAGAACTCCCACGACAAACAGAAAATATATATCAGTGATTGGTTTGGGGGGGAGGGGGTGCCAAAATACTGTTTGCTTACCTTTGAAAATTACCTAGGCCGCCTCTGGGTGTGACCAAAAGCAAAATCAAAGTTCTGGCGACTAGAAATGGACACTGTATTCCAGTTGAGATTGGCTGGCATGGAATCAAATGGCACTACTCCTTTCCTTAATCTGCACAATTTCATTTTGTTGGCGCAACCTAGAATCTTGGCAGTGTTTCCTCCCCAAKCCCACAAGGAACTGAATGGCATCTGCCTGCCCTTCTGCCCTTTCCCATCCAACTCACCAAACTCTCTGCCAACTGTTGGGCACTCTCAAGGGTTGGGAAGAAGGCGCCARTCCCAATCTTCACATCCAGCACCAAAGCAGTGAGGTTCTCAGCCACCTTCTTKCCCAGGATGGAACCTGCAACCCCAAAYATGGATAATGCATGGAGACTTCATGTGAACAGGTGCCCAGAGAACAGCCCCAAAAAGTKACCTCTCAATCCTTTTGGGATAGAAACTTAGCCCCTGCCTCGTCTCTTAGTTCTGGCTCCAAGAAGTAGACTCACCAAAACTAAGGGAATTTAGGGCCCATCCACAATGTCATAAAAATCCAGATGATCTGCTTTGAACTGGATTATATTAGTCTACACTGCCATATAATCCAGAGTAAAGCAGATACTCTGGATTTTATATGGCAGTGTTGATGGGGCCTTAGTGAGCAACCCAAGTCTTTGCGTTTTTTACTAGAAGCATGGTGTGGTCTGCATATCGTGGAAACATAGAATCATAGAGTTGGAATCATAGAATCAAAGAGTTGGAAGAGACCTCCTGGGCCATCCAGTCCAACCCCATTCTGCCAAGAAGCAGGAATATTACATTCAAATCACCCCCGACAGATGGCCATCCAGTCTCTGTTTAAAGCTTCCAAAGAAGGAGCCTCCACCACACTCCGGGGCAGACAGTTCCACTGCTGAACGGCTCTCACAGTCAGGAAGTTCTTCTTCATGTTCAGAAAACCTGAAGGCCATCCAGTTCAACTCCATTCAGCTACACAGTTGAAGCCTTCCCGACAGATGGCCACCCAGCCGTTGCTTTATCTGACAATATAAAGTAATGTATTGTCAAAGGCTTTCATGGCCGGACCTCACTACCTCTGAGGATGCTTGCCATAGATGCAGGCGAAACGTCAGGAGAAAATATGCCTCTAGAACAGGGGTAGGGAACCTTTGGCCCTCCAGCTGTGGTGGACTTCAACTCCCACAATTCCTTGAGGCTCGGCATTCGCCCCAAAGGCTTACCTTGGCCCAATGCCAGCCTCAAGGAATTGTGGGAGTTGAAGTCCACCACAGCTGGAGTGCCAAAGGTTCCCTACCCCTGCTCTAGATCATGACCATATAGCCTGGAAAAACCTACAACAACCCAATATAAACCAATGTCATTCAGTTCAAACCATATAATCTGGGATCAGATTATAGGACAGTGCAGATCCAGCCTTAGCATTCTCTGGAATTTTAAATGCACACTCAACTACAAATCCCATGATTTTCCATGGCAGTTCAAGTTGCCTCCAAGGGGTATAATTGTGTGACATGAAGGATGGGGGTGGGACAAAAGAAAGTCAGATGGAATCTCCCCCTCAGAAGGGAAATTTACTCCTGAAAGAGTTGTTATCGGGGGGGGGGGCTCCACTGAAGCTTTACCTCCAATCCTTGTTTCCACAACAAACCACATATCCCAAAATGCAATTCTCACGGGGAGAGAAAGTGAAGGGAAATCTTCTGAACAGGGTCAGAGATAGCAAAGGAAACACAACAGGGGTGTTAATAATAAAACTCTTCCTTATGCTATCCAAAGCACTGTGTGTGTGTGTGTGTGTGTGTGTGTCTGGAGTTACACTTTAAAAATGCCCCTGTTCTGACTTACAAATTCAACTTAAGAACAAATCCACAGAACACGCTTTAGCACAATCTAAGATCTGTGTCCAATGTGGACCTTCCTCTCCACTGCATCCTTACTGGTGGCGAGAGGCACGCTGTCCACGGTGGCCGTGGCATCCCTCAGGGCATAGAGGATTTTGTCTGCCGGGACCAGCTCCTGGCTCTGCTCCACAATGCAGCAGCCGACCTTCTCCAGGATCTCCTTCATCTGAGGAGGAACAAAAGACCGAGCTACCAAATAGAATCATAGACCCAAAGGACCAACTTCTCCAATCCCATTCTGCCAGGCAGGAAGACACATAGAATAAAATCCTAAAACTGGAAGTGTCATGAATACTTTTTAAACTCTGAAGAGCATTTAAAAGGTTCCTTTATTTCATTCACAATGAGACAGAGTATACCACAGAGCAACACAGAGAAAGAAAGTAGACATACAGACTCTACAACTACATTGGGTACACAAACAAGGGGAATTACGTTTTACTCAACATTCTCACACATATATACACATTCATACCTACATTCAAACATTACCATCTCTTCTTCCTTCTCCTTTGCTTGCTCCATCCATGTTCAATATCTACACAAATGACCAGCCACTGCCAGAAGGGACAGAGGGCTTCATCTATGCTGATGATCATGCCATTACTGCTCAAGCAGGGAGCTTTGAGATGGTTGAACAGAAGTTCTCCAAAGCTCTAGGTGCTCTTACTGCCTATTTCAGGGAAAACCAACTGATCCCTAATCTATCTAAAACACAGACATGTGCTTTCCATCTCAAGAGCAGAGAAGCATCCCGAGCTCTGAGGATTATTCCCTGGGAAGGAATCCCTCTGGAGCATTGCAGCACACCCAAATACCTGGGAGTCACTCTGGACCGTGCTCTGACCTACAAGAAGCACTGCCTGAATATCAAGCAAAAAGTGGGTGCTAGAAACAATATCATACGAAAGCTGACTGGCACAACCTGGAGATCACAACCAGACACAGTGAAGACATCCGCCCTTGCTCTATGCTACTCTGCTGCTGAGTATGCATGCCCGGTGTGGAACACATCTCACCACGCTAAAACAGTGGATGTGGCTCTTCATGAGACATGCCACATTATCACGGGGTGTCTGCGCCCTACACCACTGGAGAAATTACACTGTCTAGTCGGTATCGCACCACCTGACATCCGCCGGGAAGTAGCAGCCAATAGTGAAAGGACCAAGGCAGAGACATCTCCAGCTCATCCCCTGTTTGGGCATCAGCCAGCACGTCAATGCCTTAAATCAAGAAATAGTTTTCTAAGATCTACAGAGACACTCGCTGGAACACCTCAGCAAGCGAGAGTCCAAAAGTGGCAGGCTCAAACCCAGAGCCTCAATCAATGGCTGATACCAAATGAGAGACTCCTCCCCTGGGCACACAGAAGACTGGGCGACTTGGAAGGCGCTGAACAGACTGCGCTCTGGCACCACAAGATGCAGAGCCAACCTCAAGAAATGGGGCCACAAAGTGGAATCCTCGACATGCGAGTGTGGAGAAGAGCAAACCACTGACCACCTGCTGCAATGCAACCTGAGCCCTGCCACATGCACAAGGGAGGACCTTCTTGCAGCAACACCAGAAGCACTCCAAGGGGCCAGATACTGGTCAAAGGACATTTAATCAACTACCATACTCACAAATTTTGTGTTTTGCTTGTTTGTTTGTTTGTTTTGTTCTGTTAGAAATGTAATACAATTGACTGGTTGCCCTGACATCACAAATAAATAAATTCCTTCTCCTGGAAAAGAGACCTCAAAGTAGGCCAGGTTGTGTTCTCAGCAAATCTGCCATTCTGCAAATACACCATCTTCTTCCATTCCTTGGAGAAGATGATGGGTAGACCAGACTCCTCCAGTCTGCCACACTTTTTGGAATAGCAAAGTGTCTCTTATATAACTTTGAATGTGATTTTCCTGCTTCTTGGCAGGGGGTTGGACTGGATGGCCCATGAGGTCTCTTCCAATTCAATGATTCTATAGCAATATTTCTTGCTGGTGATGTTCTGAAATTTGTAAATGAATGGCAGGCAGCTAATTCCAATTGTCTTTGTAAAAGACTGACATTTTTTTCCAGCCAAAACACGCTGATTCCTATCAGTTTGTGGACAGATGTTAACTTTTCCTCCTTAAGTGATGATTGGTTTTCCTTCTTAGGGAGCACCAATTGCTTCCTTCTTAACTTAAAGGCACCATTGTCTCTGGTAATGTATTGTCTACATAGGGACCACCAAACGCAGAATTGCCCAGACACGCATCAAGGAACATGAAAGGCACTGCAGACTCCTTCAACCAGAGAAGTCAGCCATAGCAGAGCACCTGATGAACCAGCCTGGACACAGCATATTATTTGAGAACACAGAAATGCTGGACCACTCTCACAATGTCAGACTACACAGAGAAGCCATTGAAATCCACAAGCATGTGGACAATTTCAACAGAAAGGAGGAAACCATGAAAATGAACAAAATCTGGCTACCAGTATTAAAAAAAACTCTAAAATTACAACAGCAAAACAACAGAGGGGAAACAATCAGGGTCAGCTAATCGCCTCTCAACAAAAGATTCCCCCAGGCATTAACAAGCCACGCCAAAAAACTGCCAGGCCGTCAAATGCTAATCAAGGTGGTCAGTTGAAACATTCATACCTAGCTCCAGCAGACAAGAGGTTTTTTTCCCACCCTGGCCATTCCACAAGTATATAAACCCAATTTTCCTAGTTCCAACAGACCTCACGACCTCTGAGGATCCTTGCCAGAGATGCAGGCGAAATATCAGGAGAGAATGCCTCTAGAACAGTGTTTCTCAACCTGGGGGTCGGGACCCCTGTGGGGGTCGCGAGGGGGTGTCAGAGGGGTCACCAAAGACCATCAGAAAACCAGAATTTTCTGTTGGTCATGGGGGTTCTGTGTGGGAAGTTTGGTCCAATTCTATTGTTGGTGGGGTTCAGAATGCTACTTCATTGGAGGTGAACTATAAATCCCAACAACTACAACCCCCAAATGTCAAGGTCTATTTTCTCCAAACTCTACCAGTGTTCACATTTGGGCATATTGCAAAGTTTGATCCATATCCATTATTGTTTGAGTCCACAGTGTTCTCCGGATGTAAGTGAACTACAACTCCCAAACTCAAGGTCAATGCCCACTAAACCCTCCCAGTTTTTTCTCTTGGTCATGGGAATTCCATGTTCCAAGTTTGATTCAATTCCGTCACTGGTGGAGTTCAGAAGGCTCTTTGATGGTAGGTGAACTATAAATCCCAGCAACTCCAACATTCCCAAATGACAAAATTAATCCTTCCCCCAACCCCACCAATATTCAAATTTGGGCATATGTGGTATTTGTGCCAGATTTGGCCCAGTGAATGAAAATACATCCTACATATCAGATATTTACATTACGATTCATAACAGTAGCAAAATTACAGTCTTGAAGTAGGAATCCAAATAATTTGGGGGTCACCACAACATGAGTTGGGGGTCAACACAATATGAGGAACTGTATTAAGGGGTTGCGGCATTAGGAAGGTTGAGAATACACATTGACATTTGGGAGTTGTAGATACTGGGATTTATAGTTCACCTAACATGTAAACAAAGAGCATTCTGAACCCCACCAACAATGGAATTGAACCAAAGTTGGTACAGAGAACTCCCATGATCAACAGAAAATACTGGAAGGGTTTGGTGGGCATTGACCTTGAGTTTGGGAGTTGTAGTTCGCCTACATCCAGAGAGCACTGTGGGCTCAAACAATGATGGATCTGGACCAAACTTGGCACGAATACTCAATATGCCCAAATGTGAACACTGATGGGGTTTGGGGGGAAAATACACATTGACATTTGGGAGTTGTAGATACTGGGATTTATAGTTCACCTACAATCAAGGAGCGTTCTGAACCCCACCAACAATTGAATTGGGCCAAACTTCCTACACAGAACCCCCATGTTTACTGCGTTTTCTGATGGTCTTTGACGACCCCTGTGACACCCCTTCGCGACCCCCTCAGGGGTCCCGACCCCCAGGTTGAGAAACACTGCTCTAGACCATGGACATATAGCCCGAAAAAAACCTACAACAACCCAGTGCTTCCGGCCACGAAAGCCTTGGACAAGACATTCTTGCAATGGCTTCCGATTGAGTTGAGCAGAAAGACTGGACCATGAGGGTGGCCTTTGATGATAACAATCATCTCTCCAAATGTATTTGCCAATAATCTTGAAGCTTTGTGTGGGATGCTGCTCTTGATTTCAAGCAACCTTGTCACCTTGTTCTTTCCTTTGAAGCAAGAAGCGGTTGTTCCGATGGTCCTCCTTCTTATGTCTCCAATGTACTCAGGGCGGTCAACAGGAAGGGAGCGTGAGGAAAAGAAGATCTTGCGCCCACTTTGAGAACCACTCCAGTGGCATTGACAGAAGGTGGTGTTTTGAAATATTATGGAAACTCACTGGGTGACTTTACCAAGTCACACTCTCATAGAATCATAGAATCCTAGAGTTGGAAGAGACCTCCTGAGCCATCCAGTCCAACCCCATTCTGTCGAGAAGCAGGAGTATTGCATTCTGAACCCCACCAACAATGGAATTGAGTTGTAGTTCACCTACATCCAGAGAGCACTGTGGGCTCAAACAATGATGGATCTGGGTCAAACTTGGCATGAATATTCTGGGCCATCCAGTCCAACCCCATTCTGCCGAGAAGCAGGAAAATAGCATTCAAAGCATCCTCAACAGATGGCCATCCAGCCTCTGTGTCAAAGCTTCCAAAGAAGGAGCCTCCGCCACACTCCGGGGCAGAGAGTTCCACTGACCGGTATACAAAATTGCTAAATAAATAAATACATTAAAACACATTAAAATACAGATCAAATGCTAATCAAGGTGGTCAGTTAAAACATTCACACCTAGCTCCAGCAGACAAGAGTCCTTTGTCCCACCCTGGTCATTCCACAGATATATAACCCCCTTTTTCCTAGTTCCAACAGACCTCACTACCTCTGAAAACACTTGCCTTAGATGGAGGCGAAACGTCAGGAGAGAATGCCTCTAGACCATGGCCATATAGCCCGAGAAAACCTACAACAACCCAATTGCAGGAATGCTTTCAGGAGAATAGGAAATGTTCTCAACACTTGTTCGTTGTCTGTTGTTGTAATGTTCTGTGATGTTCTCGTTGATGATGATTTTTCTCTCTAAAAA